CTGAGATAATTACAAAATAATTGTAGAAACGCTGAAAACTAGCTCAAGCTCTCTTCAAGCACTATTTCTTTGTTTTTATGAACTAGTTCAACAATTGAACTTTCTCAAAAGTTGATCAAAAGTGAGGCTTTTAAATAATTTTCAAAAAGGCGATACATATATACCATTTAAGCACCCTTGGTTCTTATGAACCAGTTCCTTAACTTTAATACACGCTTAACGCCATTTTTCGAACATTATTACGAAATGGCTTATTTGTCATGATATGTAAACTATGCCATAATTCTTCACTCAAAGGACATTATTGATATATCGATTTGCTATATACATATGCCATGAACTAGTTCCACTACTAGCTCACAGCATTTGCACATGGCACATCGACAGTTTCCAGTTGCATGTCGTAGCCAAGCGACAGGCATTTGCAGAGCAGCAAAAAGAATCAGAAAGCTGAACGTCGATCTCAGCTTGGCAAAGTTTGGATTTTGGCGTCGTGAACTTTTGCGCTGGCTGCGCACACAAAGTTCAATGAGCCGCTCGCACGGTCGCGTGGACGCTCCGAGGGCTCAGTTCAGCTCCCCTATTTAGTGTGTCTGTTTCTGTGTTGTTGTTTTTTATTTCGTTCCCCTGTGTTGTTTTTATTTTGGATACGAGACAGGCAACCCCTAGCCAAATGGATTTGTGTGCGTTCATTTTCAGCTGCAGCCGTAGACAGAGATAGAGACAGAAAGTGAGCGAGAGAGCGAGAGGGCTGTCTCTAAGCCCGTGCCCCGTTGCCAGCGATCGCGCAGCGATTCGTGATGTTTGGTCGCGTAAATACACCTGCCACGCGTCAGCTCGCATTCGAGTCGGCCGAGTCCTGTGCCTGCATTTAATTAAAATATTAACTACGAAAATGACTGAGGGATAAACAACAGCAACAACTACGAGTCGGTTGCCTGGACTACGCCGGAGCACTAAGCATAGAGAGAGCGAGAGAGTGCAATAAAGAACAGGAGCTGGCGCAACGGGCAGAGGCAGGGGCAGGGGCGTGGCATGGCCAGCAAGGCTCACCGGCAGGTCCTGACGGAAACTTGTTTCAATTAACATTCATTTTTTTCGTTTTTTCTTTTTTTTTTTTTTGCATTTCCAGTTTCATTGGAAAAACGCGCCCCAGTTTCAGTGCAGGATATGCCAGTCCAGCTCAACCTCGTTCTTTCTCCCTCTCTCTCACTCCGTCTATCCATCTCGCTCGCTTGCAATTAACGCACGCGCCCTGGCACTGGCACTGCCGTTGCCCGGTTCGCTTCTCCCGGAACTATGCATCATATCAAAATAATTATGCATTTAAATCTTCCAAGCGTTGCAAAAGGATATGACGATATGGCCAAGGCGGGGGCTGCTGCTGTTGTTGCTTTCAAATGCCAGAGGCCAGCAGAGCCAGCTCAAAGTCTTCCAAGTCATATGATCTGCAGCTCAACATTTTGGCCAAAGATCTGTTTGATCGGCCATAGATCATAGCTGATCAGTTTTGATAAGTTATCCTGTTTCCCTTCGGCCACGATTATATTTGTGCTCGAACCAACATGCAGGTAGACCTGACATACGATCAGCGATCAGTCCAGAGGTCAAGTCTTTCGTTTTCCTCATATGTAAAAGATTTAACTTCTTGATCGCTGAGCGTTTCTTTGATCTGCCGGCAAAATATGAACGCACACTGATATAAGCTTGACTTTACGATCATTCGATCTGTGGCACAAGCTGTATATAAGATCAGGGCTTCTAAAAGAAAATCTTTTTTGGTTTGTAGATCTTGTAGATCTTGTAGAGATTTATCTAGTTAGAAAAGTATAGCAACGTCAGTTTGAGCTCTTTTCAAATAGAACTTTGGTATGTAAATATGTTTCATAGTCGAAACATATCAAAGGATAGCCAAGTGTTCTTTAGGATAGATCACTAGAGCTACGATTTGACCATGAACCTTCAGTAGTTTCAAACTACTACCATATTTTGCTTATTGTCAATCCTATTAAGTGGTCCACAGATAATATACCTAATTCAAAATCTCTCTTACAATAGTCACAGACTAATGTTCATCTATATAGACACGCTTAAGCCGATCCTCTGTCGATCCATCAGCTGTGTATGTAAACAATTGTCGCACTTTGGCTGACCATTAGCCGATCTATTGACACGATCTATTCTCTGGCATTGACAATCATTACGCAAATGCACTTGAAAACCAACAAGGTAACATATGCCGCATATTGAAATTCTCTCGTTGAGCTACAACAATGGGCGCCATCATCAACCAGCCAGCCAGGCAGCCAGCCAGCCCGAAAGCATTCTACGGGTTAGACAAAAGCCAAGCAGAGCCACACAAACAAACGAAAATCGGCAAAACTATTCTGAACATTTCAGCAGGAATTTCAGATGTCAAGGGTGGAGAGAGTTTTGCATTTATCAAAATCAATTTGAATAGCCGCAAGCGGAAAGGAAAGGATATGTCAAAGGACATGCGAAAAGTGAAAAGAGAATGTCGAACAATGCAAGTGTTAATGATGCCAAAATAATGGAGTCTAAGCCCAAGAGCTCCCTTCGGCATTACAATGCAGAAAACTGGGAGAGAAAATAGAAGAAATGAATCCGCAGCATGCAAACAAGAAGCGAACGCTACGCAAATTGTCAAAGTAAACAGCGCCGGTCGCCCGATCACTCGATCGCTCGTCGGTCATGGCTGTCAAAAAGGGTTTTTCAGTTTTCGGTTTTCGGTTATCCGTTTTTGGCAAATGGAAAATGGGAAAATGGGAAAATTGACACGGCTACCGTTTCGATCGATGATGGTTCAGCACAAAAATCTGGCCAAAATAAACAATGGGAACGAGTTGAAAGAGTGAAAAACAATGCCAGAATAAAACCAAATCGACAAACGGCAGCGGCAGCACCTGGCCACAGATCGCACTGATCAAACGTTCGATGAGCAGGCAAAAAGAAATAGCGACAGAGAAAGAGAGAGAGAGAGTGTGTGTGTGTGCGTGAGAGGGGGAGGTAGGTATGGTATGGTAGGTAGGTAGAGTGTCAAACGGAAGTTTGCAGCATGCAGGGAAAAACTTGTGATCTTGTTGATCGTTTAATTAGAGGGGCATATGTGAAATTGTTCGAACACCTAACTCAAGCCTCACTCTGCATAGCTAATAAGCAATGCGAGCCAGACAGCCCTGGTGACACGCGCATGCCAAAGCGTTTTGGGGGCGAGTTGACTTGGCTTCTGTGCAGTTCGTCTGTTCTGGTCTGTTCTTCTGCATCGGCTTTGGCTTCTGCTTCTTCTTCTTCTTCTTCTTCTTGCACTGGCGGCGCTAATGAATAGGGGCGTGTGCGTGAGCTGCACATGAAATGGGCTGCTAAAAACGGAGTGAAGACGACGACGGCAACGATGACGACGATCGCGAGTTTTGCTAAGTTAATTAACACGGAAATCAAATTGCTGGCATGCCAACTCTGCCAGCACAGTCGCCTCAGCCTCAGCCTCAGTCTGAGCCTCAGCTTGAGCCTACGTCAAAAAGCCATAAAGGCACACGACGCAGGACAGCCAGCTGCCAGCTAAACTCTCAATTCCAATTGCTCAAACGCAAGCTACTAGATCCTCGCAACAGCTCAAAATCAAGTTGAGTTCAATCACTGGCACTGGGAACAGTTTTTGTCCGCTCAAAATCAACTGAATCAATCAGAAAGTAAAGAAAACACACTCAAAGCATTCAATTAATATGCACAAAAACTTGAGAACATTCAGGCTTTGAGCCACTTGATCCTGGCAGCTCAAAGTTTGCAAAGCTCTGAGAACAAGAGTTGAGTGAGTGACTTGAGCTCGAACTGATCGGGAGTTTTTGGCGACTCAGCTCAGTACGATCTAACGATCACTGCGAACAGAAAATATGCTTCAAATACAGCTCAAGAAAGTCATATGTGCATGATCTATTGCTGATTTTCAAGGGATCCTCGCTTTGTGATTAATCAGTAAAGTTCTAGCGATCACCGGTGAGAGAGGTGGAGCTACTGATCATTTAGTATGGCGTACTCAGCTCCAATAGGCTTCGCATATAGTTCAATAAAGTCATATAAAGCGATCAGCGCCTCGATCTCAAGAAGAATAGAGCTAGCATTCCCTACGCTCGCTAGTGGGACTTAAAGTTACTGTTAGATCTTATAACTGATCTATCATGATCAACATGATGCAGTCATATGATTAATTTCCAAGTGATCCTCGCCTCGTTCTCAATCAGAAAAGTTTTGGCAATTCTCAGTGGCTCACCCGAAAATATGCTTTAAATAAAGCTGAATAAAGTTTCGCATGCACGCATAATGATCCTCTCTTTCTCTTTCGCTCTCTCACTCTGTTCCGCTCTCAAAACATATACGAACCACTCAAATGATCCTCAATCAGAAAATGAACAGATAAAACACGCTCAAATCGTAGCCCTGAGTGCAATTGTTGCTTATTGCCCGAGTGGGAACAGTTCGAGTGCCTTATCACCGACTCAGGCCAAAGCAGGAGCGAGCAGGCAGGCAGCCAGCCAGGCAGTTGATCGACAGAGAGCAAGCGAATGAGAGAGAGAGAGAGAGAGAGAGAGAGTCAGTTGAGTTTGGGAGAGCTCAATGCGAGGCGCTGTTGCTCTTGCTCGCTACTGCGTCTACCTGTGGCTCAACGACGCCGACTCAATTGCCAGGTGGTTGCAGTCGCTGCACAGGTAAGCGACCGAGAGAGCAAACGAATGCGAACGCGAACACGAGCGCGAGCGCATGAGCGACGCTTGAGTGAATTCGCGGTGCGCCGTTTGCTTAATGCGAAAGGTACAAAACATGAAGGTTTAGGACGAAGGGACTCATTCTTGTGCAAGGTGTCAAACGATCAACTTGAGCTACGCTGAGCAAACAAAATAACAAAACTTTTACGTTGCCAACGAAAAATTGCACTAAAGGAAAAACAATTTTACAAACATATCAAAAGCAAAATATTAATTTTTTTTAAACGTGTGTGTGTGTGTGTGTGTCCGAGCGAGAGAGAGAGAGTGAGATAGAGATATAGCGCGATGTCAAGTGTGGTATTCAATGCAAGCGCCGTCGGCAAAAACGCCGCTGAACTATTCCCCACAACGATCGGAGGCGCTACAAAAATGTTTCGCTATCAGCACATAATGCCCGCACCGGAGCTGAAGTCGAGCAACGGCGGCGTTGGCGGAGGCGCTGGTGCCGCGCTGATCAAGACACGCAAGTACACGCCGCGTGGCATGGCACTGGCGAACGCCTCCTCCAGCAATAGCAGCAACAGCTCCTCCTCATCCTCCAGCTGCTCGTCGCCCTACAACGTCGATCAGTCGCAGTCGGTGCAGCGTCGCAATGCCCGGGAAAGGAATCGCGTCAAGCAGGTGAACAATAGCTTCGCCCGCCTCCGTCAGCACATACCGCAGTCCATTATCGCCGATCTGACCAAGGGCGGCGGTCGGGGACCGCACAAGAAAATCTCCAAGGTGGACACACTGCGCATCGCTGTCGAGTACATACGCCGGCTGCAGGACCTTGTTGACGATCTGAACGGCGGACCGAGCACAAACAGCTGCACTCCCACGGCAGCCCAATTCAATCTGTGCCTGGACGAGACCAGCAGCCAGAGCTCCAATTCGAGCAGCAGCTCCACTGCCAGCTCCAGCGCCAGCCAGCAGCTCGCCCAGCAGCTCTACTACAGCAGCGCGCTGTTAACGCAAGCCAATGCCACCGCCACGCCCACAGCGCTGCAGCAGCAGCAGCAATTGCAGCGCCAACAGTATCCCAATCATCCGCTAACGCCCATCACACTGAACGCCAACAATGCACAGACAGCAATTCCAGCGACAACAACAACGACGACGACGTCATCGATGATGAGCTCGACAGCCACAACAAATATCGCCGGTGGCTGCCATTCGCCCACATCCTCGTTCAACTCGAGCATGTCCTTCGACTCGGGCACCTACGAGGCGCAGCCACAGCAATTGTCGCCACCTGTGGCCGCCATGGACGCTCAGCTGCAGCTCAAGTTCGAGCCATACGAGCACTTTCAGCTCGACGAGGAGGACTGCACGCCCGACGACGAGGAAATTCTCGACTATATATCGCTCTGGCAGGAGCAGTAAAAATACTAAAAAAAAGAAAAAAAACATGCACACAGAAATTTCAAAACTTCAAAAAATTCCTGCTGTTTTGCTATCTAGTCAAATATTTTGAGTTGAACCAAGTGCCTCAAACTGTAAATAGACTCAGTTCTTAGATCTAAGCCACAATTTTTTTTTTTTTTATTTTATTTTAAAAAATATTAAACAATTTATGAGTATAAAATTATCTTAAATATTTTTTTCTTAGGCTAAGCACAATTTTTTTTTAGTTTAAGTTGAAAATATTTTAAGCAACTCGACACCAGTTCATAAAATATAAAATACAATTTTTTTTTCTATTATTGCTAATTATTAAATGTTAATTAGTTGTTGTAAATTAAATAAAAAATAACAAATTCGTAAGCATAAAAGAAAACGATTTTTTTAAAATCCATATATATAGATAAAACATTTAGATGCTATCCCAGACCTGCTCTTCGGCTAACCGAGCCGAAGTTCTTAACCCTTTTCAGCTCGACACGCGCCTCATTATCAAGAGGAAAACATCATCAGGTAGCTAGGGATTAGCCTAAAGTAAAAGTAAAAGCCCCTAAAATGTGGCGCGTGGTTGAAAACTAAAAATACAAATTCAAATTAAACGTATAAAAAAAAAAAACCGAGACACAGACACTCTCTGTGAGGGGGAGAAAAAGCGCAGGTAGTATACCTTCCAGGTTCAGAGGCCATAAGAGCTGATAAGTAAGAAAAAAAAAAAAATAAATGACGCCCTTGACGCGTGCTCTTGAAACACTTGAGCGAGACGGCGTCTAAGACAGAGTTAGATATACATAGAGAGAGCATGAGAGTTAGGTAGAGCGAGCGAGAGAGAGGGAGCAAGACAGTACGGAGAACTCTTATCGCCAGCAAATTCAAATAAATTCCACACAGATATGCTATTTCGATTGAAATTCGAGCATTTCGCAAAGCGGAAATAGGCGGCCGCTACTCTAAAGACTATATCATAACTATAATCAGATAAAATCAGCCAAAATATATGTACATACATATGTATGAAGCATACTGTAACGAAGCCTGAATAAAGTCAAACATTTTGGAAATTTTTTGTATTTCAATCGAAATGTTATTTCACATGTAAATAGAAGTTGAGAAATACTTTGGGATATACCCTGATTATAGGTTTTATGAATGGCATTGTAGAGCTAAATCCATATCCATATAAAGAATTTTGTTGTCAAAAGCATATATTTTTGTATTGGAATAGAACAGTGGAAATATCCTGGGGTCTATGATAATTGTACATACAGTAGAGTCCGGTTAGATCGATTCCGCCTGTAGCGTTCGTACGGTTAATGGGACGACAAACTCTTATGAGCAAATTTATAAGGTTATGGCGTCTGCCGGATATAACGACGGTCCCTTGAGCGTCGCTGTAACCGGATCCTACCGTATATATGTAGTTCTACTGTATATATGTAGTTATATGTATATATGTCCGTATTCCTGATCAACTTTTCTGTGTTATACTTCTTCAGAATGTGGAATTTTTGAAATCTTCATCTATCCGCCTGTTGCATAAGATATGAAGTCAATTAACCTCAATACGTGAAGGAACAGAATATCCAATATGATATTTGCTGCGAGAAGTATATATAATTCACTTCTACATCTGAACATGAGGCTAAGACCTAATCTGAGATAAAATCAATATATAATTTCATATTGGAACTAAGCCTATCAAAAGCTGAACTGACATTTGATTTAAACTTTTAAATTATCCAGAGTTAAATGTAAGATCTCATAGATTTAATATCCATAACTTGAACTTGAAATATATTCGAGATCATTCTTGATTTTTGTTCCACTTTCCTAAATCTCCAAAGAGCATCCACTCTAGTTCATATTGAAAAACTATTTATTTAACATTTTCTCTACTCTCAACATTCCTGTTTGCATTTCAATTCAAATCCTTTTTGGGTTTCCATCTATCTAAAGAGAGAGAGAGTTGATTGTTCAAACGATTGTTTGCTCCCACGCCCCGCACAATAAATCACTTTTGCATTACAAAAAACACTCGCTCTTGGACTATATTTTGACACATTAAAGAGCAGCAGAACAATGGGTAGATACTTTTATAAAAAGAAACTGAAAGAAAACGAAAAAAAAAAAAAAAAAAAACACCTTTGTCACCCTTTGGATGCCCATTTCCCATAGAGCTGGCCCTCGCCTAGCCCTACTTTTCCACTTTTGTGCCATTCTTTCAATGTCAACGCTGACACTTGACAACTCAATGCGATTGTCCTGGAGTTAGGGTATTTGGGGCTGCATTTGTATTAGAATAGTAGGCAAGGATTATTATTATATGATAGAGATACAGCGCCGGAAGAACTTTCACCTTTGTAGCAGCATAAGAAATGAGCATTTGATAAACAGCAACTGTCAGGCGGCAGCTGTTCAGCTGCTCCTTAAATACATATACAAATACATATATATATGCACATACATATATTTATATTTTAAGTGCATTGAAGGAGTTGTTGTTTAATAGATTTTTTGGCGCGCCGCTTTCTTGGTCAACTTTGTGGCAAGACAAAACGCGCCGCCGTCGCATCAATCAGTCCAACAAATTTGTACAAATTATAGGCTAAGGCTCGAGCCAAGGCGCTGTCCCTATCCCTCTCCCTC